CAGTAAAAGTTTTTTTGGCTTTTTTTGTACATGGTTGGATAGAGGACACAAAAGTGATTATAAAAAAGTAGTTCGAAACTTTTCCAAATATATTTTTGATAGAAAAAAATTCAAAATGTGGGAGTACCGAATTTTTTGGAAAAAACAGATAAATTTTGGAAATGATGCCATATTTTTGTTTTCTCATTATTTATACTTCTTCAAAGCAATTTTTTCGTGTTCCTTATGTAAAACTGACTATAGAAAACTGTATTAATACAGTTTTCTATAGTCAGTTTTACATAAGGAACACGAAAAAGTTTGTTTGAAGAAGTATAAATAATGAGAAAACAAAAATATAGCATCATTTCCAAAATTTATCTGTTTTTTCCAAAAAATTCGGTACTCCGTCATTTTGAATTTTTTTCTATCAAAAATATATTTGGAAAAGTTTCGAACTACTTTTTTATAATCACTTTTGTGCCGTCTTCCAACCATATACAAAAAAAAGCCAAAAAAAATTTTACTGTAATTTTGAATTTCCTACACCTTACTTTTTTCTTGTTTCTCACTCCACAGCGGAACCGATAGAGATCTTAACTACTACCACTCAAGCAACATTCTTATTGGTCGAAAAAGAAAAAACCAATTATATTAAGTACTGTACGCCTTCTCTTGTGTTATTATATTTTATATTTCAAAAAACCTCAACAAACTAACGAATTAAGTTTGCAACGATAAGTTCTGAATCTATTCATGAATATCAAAAGAAAATAGAGTTAGTTGTTTGTGTCAATATTCGAAAGATTAATCTATTATAAATAAATGTAAAAAAAATGTCTACTGATATAATTAAACAAGTTCTTTCTTTTTACTTACTTGTATTGGCTTTATTGTCACAATTATTGTTCTTTATATATTAAATAGTAATTAACCGATTGAAATTCTTCATGCATGTAAGAGAATATTATTATTATATACTAAATGCATTTTGAAAAACGTTGGCAAAAAAAACACAACAAATTGCTTATGACATATACGACATACGAATTTTGTGTATTAGTAATGGTAAAGTACAACTTTTGGATTAAAAAACATTCACAGGACGTGAAACAGCTTTTATATATTCTTAGTCTTCTCCGTATTCTTATTAAATGTCATGGGTTGTTGTTGTCCATATTCCGTATAAAAAAATTTTGAAGTGCATATATGTTTATTATTTTTAATATTTGACGAACATTACAATTCTTTTTTTACGGTTTCCTGTAAAAATAATGTATTGAAGTATTATATATATATATATATACCTATAAAATTTGTTTACATTATATCCATATTTAAAAATGTCCAAGTATATGTATATAAGTATAAATATTGTTAGAAATGATTTTATTTTCCTCTTTGAGTGCGAAAAAAAGTAGAGAAATCGAACATAAAACTGATGAAGAAATGTGTTATTGACAAATATTTGAAAGTAGCTTACACGACTTTCTTCACGTCTTTCATTCTACTAAAATAAAAGCAGTCTTTTTTTTCTCTCGTAATAAATAATTATTGTTTCTTTCTCTATTCAAGTGCTATGATAAAATAAAACTTCAAAACGTACTTTTTTTTACTAGTACGCGAGGGTTAAGAAAGAAAGAAAAAAAAAAGAAAATTAGTCAGAACAATGATATTTAAATGAAATAGAAAAAAAACCAATCATGTTTAAGAATATTCATTTGCTTTTCAGAAGTTCATGTACATATTGCATATAATCTTATATTTTCTATTTTTGTTTTGCCTATTTGTTTTTATCATATTCAATTTGCTAGTCTTTGTTGTCCTTTTATCAATATTCTCACGTTTATTAATACCACAAAAAATAAGATGCACTCTAACACGTCTTTTCATAAAAATCTTTTTCGTTCTATTGTTTGTTTTTAAAGTTTTGTTTCAAATGTTTTTAACATTTAAACAAATACACAGAACGAAATATGTCGGTTTTTTTTTCGTTGACAAAACAATCTGATTTCAATCTATTCATCATAAGAATAGGGTACTTATCATCAGATCTTATTTTTTTTTCTTTCATTGAATAGATTAAGATCGATTTGAGAAAGTTAAAAGATCAGTTTTTATTATTTGTAACGTTTGTCAATAGAAACAGATTGATTTATATGTCGAAGAAACAAACAAGACAAATATTTACTTTTATTTTTTGAAGATATCATACTACTGTTTTCTGTTTTTTTCATCAGACTTTTATTTTTCATTAGTGATTACATGCTGCAAGTCAAACTTTACATGTGATATATTTCATTCATATATCGCTATATTGTTTAAATTTTTCTAGTTAAAGACTTTTATTGATAAATATAATACCTCCTTTTTAGTTATATAATATTATTTATGTATCTAATAGGAATTAGAAACCAAATGCTTTGAGCTAGGTTGTAAGTCACTATGAAAATATAAGCAAACATTTTATGTCAACAAAATCATTACAATGTATATACTAGAAAACATAATGTGGGAGTGTATACAATCCTATTACCAATAATAAATATTTTTAGCTCTTATTACGGGTAATTTAGTCTATTGGAAAACGATTATGACGAAACAAATCCTTTTACTGTAAATGTTCAAAGTTCGAACGTCATTAAAAATATATTTTTAATTTAGATGTCGAATATAAAAAAAGATTCGCAATGTTCGGAGTCATGAGTGGCTCTTGTAAAAAAATTTTTCAATTAAGAAAAATCAAATCTTTACCTAAGACTTTCCATTCTTAATCAAATAACAGATAGACAAATGATTTTTTCGAATACATTTTGTTTTTCTTGTTCATGATTTTAACTTTGACGATCGAGTTCATTGGAAAACAGAATTTTTTTATCATTATTACAAATAGCTATGCTATACATATTTAAACATTTACTTAGTATATTATTTTTTTTATAGTTCTCATTAAAATAAATGGAAATTCTGCTAATAGTTTTCTGTTATAATGTCAACAGACAACAATACCTTGATTAAATATTGCCAGATTTGCTCTATTAAAAAAAAACATTAGAGAATGAAACTATTTGATATAGATTAATCTAAATACGTGGACATCAGTTTAATAAGATCTTTGCTTTGTTAGGAAGAATATTATGAAAAATATTAATACTGATGATATTGTCATACTAAAATGAAAAAAAAACAATAAAGTTTGATTAATGTGTGATTATTTCAATAATATTCAATTAGATTTAATATCTTTTACATTCATTTCAATTTCAAAATCCATATAGTTTTTTATTTCTGATAAATAAATATATATATTAATATTGAAAAACAAGTGCAATTTTTTTTCTGATTACTTATATTTACTTGCCAAGATAAAGTGAAATAGATATTACTAACAATTACTGTAAATAGCTCTTGTGTTCTATAGTATCAGTACACTTCTGTTTGTCGAGTATAGTTGCGTATTTTCTTTTTTTTTTCAATTGGGTAAATGTAACATACTTAGTGCACAGAACATAGAAATAACTCACATTGACTGTTGTTAGTGATATCTTTTTTATCTTGACAGGCAAATATTTGACAAATAGAAAAAAAAATTTAGATATTTTTAAATATCAAGACATGTTAATTAATTAGATAGAAAAATTATAACGATTTCGTAAATGAAATAAATGTAAAAGATATTAAATGTAATCGAATATTGTTGAAATAATTATACATTAATCAAATTTTTATTGTTTGTTTTGACATGAATATATCATGAATACTAATATTTTTCATAATTTTATTCGTAATAAAACAAAGATCTTGAATAAATTAAGAAATAAGAATTAGGAAAAGCTAAATCATGTAAATATCTATCATTAAAATCGATTTAATACTAGCAGTGTAGCCAGAAGAACAAATTTTTTCGCGACGCAGCATTTCATAAGAGTCCATGACAAATCTCAATGATATTATCGTTAGAATTTTGCTTCCAATGGGCATATCATTCTATACCGAGATAGACTGATAAATAGATAGCTATGGGTATAGATATCTTTCTTTTGCGTCTGTGTTTCTGCGGCGTTCACAGTGAGACGATGTGTGTCTGTATCTCTCTTGGGCGAGTCTTTTGTTTTCGTGACGCGCTAAGACACACGATTTGTGTGGGAAGATACCTATTTTTTTGTGCGATACAGTTACTGGAAAAATAATATTTGGTATTCGATGCTGGTGAATATGAATTATTGTTTCGGTATTCTTCCAAATATATAAAATAATCTTATTAAGAGAAAGATAGCTTATATTAGTTTCTATTTGATGTTGTAATGTTTATGTTATGCATAAGAATATTTCTGTTTTCAAATTTTTAATAGGTAGGTATATATACATCTATCTACCTATCGGTCTACGTAGTCTATAGACAGATAGATAAATACGTAGGTAAATATTTATTTATCTTCCCACCTACTTAATGAATACGTCTATGTAAGTGTGTCGTGATTTTAGTGATAATATCCTTTAGAAATACCATACATTGCTTGGTACATCTTTCGAGAATAACTCACATCAGTATTCGCAGTACTTTCAAATTTTCCAACAAAGCTTGAACATTTCTAGTAGAAGTTCTGTTCGTTGTAGTTTTGCCACTATTTGAAACTTTTTTTTCATAAAAAATTATTTATTATTGTTAATTCAACAATACTATTATCTTTACAGTATCTGTTGACAATCGATTCATACAGACAAATTTTTAGAATAATAAAATTTAATGTAAGGGAAGTTAGCACCTGATTCGAGTTTTTTTCAGAC